ATATTAAAAAAAAATTCATTAAACAGAAAATAAAAAATTTTCTAACACAGGAATTTAAAATATTTTTCATTACTAGTCCTCTCAATTATTGCCACGTCTTATTAAAAAGGGTACGCAGATAGCAATTGGGCCTGGCCCAAACACATTACCAGCAGGAAGAAAAAAAAAAGAGTAAATGAACAAGATGAGTGGGGCGGGTTTGTGGTGATGTAAAGCCTAGAACGAAAATTGAATAACAAAAAATATAAAAGCCACACCGTCCATTATTCCCTTCCACATTTTTTCTTCGTGTTCTCTCCCTCATCTTCTGTCTCTCTTACCTCATACCTAAAACAACAACAACATAATGAACCCTAGATCAAAACCCGATTCGGCGACGGTGTTGTCCTCCTATCCAGATTCCGGTGGCCTTGGGTGTGGCTATGTGATGAATAGATGGGGCTCCGCGGTGGGTTCGGTATCAATGGCGCTTGGAGATGGTGTCGCAGATGAGAGATCGAGTCCCAGAGGTCTGGGTTTTGTGTCGTGGTTGAGTTGTCGGTGGAACAGTTAAAAAGGCTTACGATCTTTTGGAATCCACACCAGATGCTTTCATGCTGCAACAATTTTCCAATCCAGCCAATACTCAGGTATAAGGTTAACAGAACTTAAATTACTATTTCGGTTCAAAACAGTCTTGTTTCAAATCACTATTGTTCCGCGATATGCCTTCAGTACAAGTTTTGTCATATAGTGGTTATAGCGCCTCTATGGCACTGTTATGTATCAGAGCTCAAACCAATAGCTATTTTTTGCAATCTGCAGTTGGCAATACAGTTCTGAAATCTTTGATATTTTGGCGAGTTTATATCTAATTTACTATAAAATTGGAAAACAGGTGCATTTTGAAACAACAGGTCCGGAGATATGGGAGGATACAAACGGACAAGTGGACATTTTTGTTATGGGAATAGGTAGCGGTGGCACAGTTTCTGGGGTTGGACAATATCTTAAATCCCGAAACCCCAACGTTAAGGTGATTTTCTTCATATCACAATTAAAATTACAAACTAAACACTGTTCTGTTAGATACTCTTAATGAATCCTTTGAAATATTTTCAATCTTATCAGATATACGGAGTAGAGCCATCTGAAAGTAATGTGCTCAATGGTGGTAAATCAGGTAAATATCATAGTTCATTTCTTAGTCATTTTTGGTATCTGTGAAGTGATTTATAGAAATATAGATGTAAAAGATGGTTAAAATAACGGTAGAAAATAATGAAAATAGTTATCGCAAATTTTGATGTGGTCCATATATACAGGTCCTCATCATATAACTGGAAATGGTGTTGGATTCAAACCAGACATATTGGACATGGATGTAATGGACAAAGTTCTTGAAGTAAGTACATGTGATTACCTTCTTCTACATAGAAATTTAGCTTGAAAGCTTTGTGTTTTTTCTAACTGTCACAAACTTACGATGTTGTAGGTTAGCAGTGAAGATGCAGTTAACATGGCTAGGACATTAGCCTTGAAAGAAGGACTCATGGTAACCTTGAAATGTCAATTTTGTTCACTGTTTGAAACAAGAAACTCATGATAAAACTTCAAGCTTTATTCATTTACATATGATTCTTGAATATCTGGCAATGAAATGTTTATATTTTAACTATTTTTTCTTTCGAATTTTTCTACCAATATTATTGATTTATATTTTTCTAATTATGTTATAGTATCAAAATGGTTGTTAATGTATGCAAAAATTTGCAAGTAGTGACAACACCTAGAATAAAGTAAGTGGTTGAAATTGTTTAAGTAGTGACAACACCTAGAAGTGGCTGAAACTGTTTTATTTGTGCGAGCTTTCATTGATATTTCACAAACATACTTGCCTGGGATAAGATTATGGGACCCCCTTGTTTGATAACACTCACTATGTATGCTGTAAATTTATCCATATGATACTGAACACCAAAGAAGATACAACAAGTAAGAGTGTTCATCAGAGTTCATTTACTCCAAAAAATAAACATAAAAGGATAGCACAAGTTATACATACATACATACATATAGTTAAAGGCTATTGTAAGTCCTGAATAGTGAGCCAAAAACAGAATGGTTTTCATAATTGATTTATTTGCTAGTAAGCTCATGTCACCTATTACAGTTTAGAACGAAAATTCACATCCATTAAAAACCTTCATAATTAATTCACATCCATGAGATGTGAAAAATATAAACAATGTGTTTTGCTCATTGGTTTAGTTTTTATTTGTGCGAGGTTTAATTCTTGTTGATGTCTTAATTGTCCTTTGGACCAAAGATACTTATGGTTAATGTGTTTTATTTTATTTTCTTATGCAGCAATGTATCAATGAAGATGTTGAAAAGGACGATATAAATGATGAAATTCAAGAGGACGACATAAATGATAAAATTCAAGAGGACGACCTAAATGATAAAATTCAAGAGGACGACGTAGATGACGAATTTCAAGAGGACGACATAGATCTATATGATGAATTTAAAGAGGAGGATATAGATGGTGAATTTCAAGAGGACGACGTAGATGAAGAATTTATGGAGGATGACATATTTAACGAATTTCAATAGGACGATCTGGATGCTTTACTCCTAGAAGACAAACTTGAATGAGTTGGATGATGTCTTTTTTTTGGCTTGTAGTTGAAAGCATTAAACTTGAAATATGATTTTTGTTCTTTTGCTGAACTATGTTTTTAGTTATTTTACTAGGGTCATACTTCAAAGTATTAAAAGTAATATTGTTACGTTAGGCATTTTGTGTACTCTATATACTATATCTTGAATTAAAGTTTGAACTCAATTTTATTATATTACAACTTTTATGGATGTATGGTTTAAGTTATATAATCAATATTATTTTTGAAGCCAATTATTATTGACTATATTATTTTGATAATAATTGCAAAATTGTATATTTTATGTGGACACTATAAAACAACAACCTATAAGCTATGGCTACACTTCAAAAACGATCTTCCTGATTCAGGTTTAAGGCAACGATTGTTAATTGTAGCCGAATTTGGCAACGCAACGCTTAAAAAACGTTGTCTCAGAGGCCGTAAATAATCGTCCCTTATTCCTTTACTATAGGTGACGTTTTTCAAAAGCGTTCCCAAAAAACATAAAAAAACGTCGCCTCAAACAATAGGCAACGCTCGCACAGGAGACGCCTAGAAAACGTCCCCTATTGTTTTAGGCAACGATTTTCAGAGTTCTGGCAACGTTTTTCAATTGTTGCTGGAGAGCCTAAATGTTGTAGTGTTACCATTTTTCCAAGAAAAAACAGAAAATAAAAACACAATTTGATAATGAAAGACAACTTTTATTTATGATTTTAATGAGCAACGCAAACATATAGGCTTGTACAATATTAACTTTCACCTTAGGCAGAGTGAAAGATTTTTGCAAAGATTAACAAAAACAAATTACTTTGAGACATGGATGCAAGAGGGAACACCAATAGTGACCCAGTTCTGGACTCTGACTCTAGGCGTCATATAATTCGGCATTTCTTGCTCTTCTCCATTCTATACAATACCATTGATCCCAAAAACGATTGGATGGAGGTAACCTCCGCTGCGAAAAATATCTTGATACTTGCCCATAATAGACTCCGGCTTCAAGTTCTCACCTTTATCATTCTTCGCTAAAAATACCAAACCAGTCCTGTTCTTGTTCACCGGTGGATCACAATTTGTCCCCCATACTTTACTTGGGCCATTATGCATAACCTGCTGAGCATCTTTGAATGAAGCCATAGAATTCTCATTCTCTCTTACGTTATTAACAGACAAAGCTTGGAACTGAGTTCCAATAGCAGCCTCATCTGCTTCCACAACACTGAAAGAGGATAAATGAGATATTAAAAAATGCTCTCTCTTTGTTTATGATAACTACTTTTCCTTCACGCACGAACTTCAGCTTTTGGTGCAAAGTTGAAGTGATAGCCCCTGCCTCTTGTATCCATGGTCGTCCCATTAACCAACTATATGCGGGCACAATATCTATGACCTAGTAATTAATCTGAAAAAGGCGCGGGCCTATGTGAATAGGCAAATCCACTTCCCCAATAACAAACTTCCTTGACCCATTGAAAGATTTTACAATTATACTGATTGGGCGCATGGGAGATACTTGATACTTCAGCTTCATCAGCGTCCTCCTTGGTATGACATTTAAAGCAGACCCATTATCAATCAGCACATTCGACAATGAATCGCTCTTACAGTTCATGAATATATGGAGAGCCAAATTGTGACTCTTTCCTTCCTCAGGCAATTCATCATCACATAAACTTAGGTTATTACAGGATGTAATTTTCCCTACCACACTGCTGAATTAGTCCAACGGAATATCACTCTCCATGAAGGCTTGATCCAACACCCTCATTAAAGATTCTCTATGGGCATAAGAATTCATCAACAAAGCCAGAATAGATATTTTTGAAGGAATCTGCCACAACTGATTTACTATCCTATAGTCGCTCATCTTGATAATCTTCAATATATCATCCACATATTTTTACAGAGTAGCACCACTGGAATCCCTTACTTATTTCTTAGTTTCAACATTTTCAGCAACCTTCTTATCGGCACTAGCATTCCCTCGAATAAAAGGTGCAAACACACTACCACTATGAATCACTCTAATGGCCTCAACAATATTCTAGATATCAGGCAAAGGTTGGATGGGAACTTTCACACCATCCTCTAGAATTTTATCATTGTACTTGTACGGTACAGCTTTGTCTGATTCGTGAGGAACATGACCCAACAAGAAAATTACTACTGGAGCAACAACTGGCTTGCTACAGTATTCAATCTCAATAGGGGCAGAATCATTGAAATAAGGCACAATTACGTTCACCCCCTTCTTCATAATATTTTGTCATCACATAATCATTGTTGGAGAACATATCTTCATCTGATGAAAATAATTCATCCGCAGAAGCATATTCATCATCTGACACAGTCTCATCCAAGCAATATTCAATCACATTAACCTCATGGTAATCATCTCTTTGGCCTGGAACTTTGATAGTACCATTATCCAATAACAACAGAATACCCCTTCTCACAATGGAACAACATCATTAATCTTTGTGTTGTACCCCAAAATTTTCCCTCTCATATTTCTCAAGTCATGGCAAGAAAAACCTCCAAGATGCTCAAGATTGCTCAAGAGTTGGACAGTCAAGCTATCTCCTAAGGCAGTCAACCTCAAATTAGGGTTTTGTGTTGCATCAAGGTCCTTGCATAAAAATGATCTCAAGTTATCCCCAATGTCCTAATATTCTCTCAAGGTCATCCATGTCAAGTTTCAAGCCTTGCAGAGGAAGTTTGTTCAGTCAATTGCTCAAAAGGTCTAAAAATCGACTGTGTTAGGGCAAAAGTCAACTGTGACCCAAATACAATCAAACTTCAAGATTTTTTGTCAACATTCTCATTTTTAAGGATATTTCATCATTTGATCAAGGTTTGATCATGATTCATCAAGGATTGCTCAAAATTCATCAAGACTCAAAAGTTGCTAAATTAGGGTTTTGTAGGAAAAGTCAACTCAACTTTGACCAAGCATAACTTTCTCATACTTTATGATAAATGACCCATCCAAAGCTCATTTTGAATAGGATGAAATTTCCTACAATCCATCTTCATATCCCAAGATCAGAAAATGCACTCACAAAAAGTTACAAATTTGGACATTATAGGTTATTTTTGAAAGTCAACAAAAACACCTTTTTTTCCAAAGCTTATAACTTGAGCATGGAATATCAAAATGATATGATACCAAAATGGTTGGTTAGATTACATCTCAATATTTCTAAAAAGTCCAAGAACACCTCCAAAAGTTCAAAATTGAAGAAGTTATGCATTGTTGAAGTTGGGCATTTTTGCAAAATTGCCAAAAGTCAACTATCCCCAAAACTTCTAATTTTGTCAAATGGGCCCATTCTTTTCCACTTGATTTGATCTTGTCACATTGCACATGTGTCCTAGCCTCATCCTTGTGTCTATTTATCAATCTTTCTATTTTATATGATTTTTTATTGAATTATCTCATTTTAAATCAATTTAAATAAATAAAAAATCACAAAACTTGATTATGTGAGATCTTTTTCTATTTTCAGGACCTAATCATCATCAATGACATGATCAAACTCGTATCAAGCATTACATGTGAAAAAAGATTGGATTTTTGGCAAATTAAGCAAGTTTTCAATGGAGGATCAAATCAAATCTCCAAGCGTTGATGTACAAGGATTCAGTCCACAAAAGTTGACCTAATACATTGCAGCATACATATACAAGTGAAAGCACACGAATTTAAGGGCTGGAGGCTGCAGAATCATCAAGAGCAAAACTTGAAAAAAGGTGAAAAAGTGTGAAACTGAAATCATCTTTGGAGGTGTTTTCAAAGACAAAACTCAACACCAATTGCTTGCTGGACAATCACTGAACCTTCTGCAATCCAAAGCAAGCTTTCATACGCAACAAATCACACTGTAAGCATCCCATTCCATACCCTTGTATTCAAATTCGTAACTCCTATTTCTTGCATCTTTGGCACAAATTATGGGCATATTCATAATCCTTGTTCAATTTACAAGCTTTCTGCATTAGCCAATTGCGTTTATCTGGCCTGTAACCCCCTAGCCGAATCTAGGGTTTGTGGTTTGTTTTTTTGGGGATTTCTTTTTCAGGAAAAAGCAGTGCCATTGATGGACATGGACGTACTCAGGATGACCAGACGAGCACAGCCATGGTCTTGGGGGTCGTTTTCATGGCCTAGAATGGATTTTAGGATCAACCTACGAATCCAGCTGCGGATATGAATCCGCAGGAAAAATGTACAGGGCTGGAGGTTAGGGATGAAAACGTGGCCCTCCCCCATTGGTTGATTCATAATTCGCGCGCTTTGTTTTTTTATTTTCTGGAATTTTAACGCGTTTTTTATATTATGTTTTGTTTGTATTTAGTTAACAACTAACGCATAGTGATCCAGTGGTTAAGGGGAGTGCTCTCAAGGCGTTGTTGGTTGGAGGTCAGGGGTTCGATGCCTGCCTCCAGCGCTTTGCATTTTCCTTTATTTTATCATGTAATCAGGTGCAAACCAACGTTGGAAGCGCATCATACACCATCACATATCAAACGCCAGATGGCCCAAGGCCAAATCTGGCAATCCAGGGATGATGGCCTATGGTGGGATCAAGTCAAAGTGCCACATAGAATCAAGAAAAGTCAGCCAGGCCTGCATGTTATTGGGCCACCAAAATTGACATTCCAACCTCCAAACTGGGCCCAAACCCCCCCCCCCCCCTAAGTCTTTCTATTATATTCTTTTTATTTATTTCATTTATTGTTTTTTTATTTAATCATTAACCAATAAAACTTTTTCTTAATAAAATTAAAACCAAAAAAATATTTTCTTTATTAAAACTAAATTTCAGTATTTTATTTTTGTTAATAAATATTAATTTAATTGATTTAGTTTTAATTAGGAATAACTTTTAATATTTTTGCAATAATTAAAATTAACTTAGACAATTAGGTTTTATTAACATTGAT